TGGAGAGGGTGTGGAGAAAAGGGAACCCTCTTACACTGTTGGTGGGAATGCAAACTAGTACAGCCACTGTGGAGAACAGTGTGGAGATTCCTTAGAAATCTGGAAATAGAACTGCCATATGATGCAGCCATCCCACTCCTGGGCATACACACCGAGGAAACCAGATCTGAAAGAGACACGTGCACCCCAATGTTCATTGCAGCACAGCCAGGACATGGAAGCAACCTAGATGCCCATCAGCAGACGAATGAATAAGAAAGCTGTGGTGCATATACACAATGGAATATTATTCAGCCATTAAAAAGAATACATTTGATCAGTTCTAATGAGGTGGATGAGAGAGAAGGCAATAACACTCCACTCCAGTACTCTTGCCTGGAAAATCCCATGGACGGAGAAGCCTGGTGGCCTGCAGTCCATGGGGTCGCTAAGAGTCGGACACGACTGAGCAACTTCACGTTCACTTTTCACTTTCATGCATTGGAGAAGGAAATGGCAACCCACTCCATTGTTCTTGCCTGGAGAATCCCAGGGACAGGGGAGCCTGGTGGGCTGCTGTCTGTGGGGTCACACAGAGTCGGACACGACTGAAGTGACTTAGCAGCAGCAGCAATGAGGTGGAGGAAACTGGAGCCCATTATACAGAGTGAAGTAAGCCAGAAGGAAAAACACCAATACAGTATACTAATGCATATATATGGAATTTAGAAAGATGGTAACAATAACCTTATGTGCAAGACCAAAAAAGAGACACAGATGCACAGAACAGACTTTTGGACTCTATGGGAGAAGGCGAGGGTGGGATGATCTGAGAGAATAGCATTGAAACATGTATATTATCAATTGTGAAACAGATCTCCAGTCCAGGTTTCATGCATGAGACAAGTGCTTAGGACTGTCACTGTTTCCATTGTTTCCCCATCTATTTGCCATGAATTGATGTGACTGGATGCCATAAAGCCCATCTCAGCTTATGCTCAGAACTGGCTCAGTCACTTAGACATACATTTGTGGGTCACAGCAAGTCCTAAGACCGAACTTAGAGTCAGTGGACAAAGAAATGTGCCCCAGCTACAGGGAAGCCATGCTCAGAGATGAAGTAAATGAAGCCATGCTCTGAGAGGAAGTAAAAAAATTAAACATCATTGTGCATAAATACTACGGTTGACTTCAGCATAGAATCAGGGAGGGAACCATTATTGGTTCTTCAGTTGTGTGAAGTCTGGCCATAATTTCAGATGATACCACTAGTTGGACCATCCCAGGTGTTCAAATACTAAAATTCCTCTGTATCAGTTGATGACCAGCTGCTGCTTCAAGCCCCTCAAATACCCCCTCTTCTATCCCCATCCCTAGGGAAGCCCTAGATAGGTTCAGTGAATAGTAATTCATCTATTATGGGAGGTGGTATTGGGTTCGATGCCTGGGTTGGAAAGATCCCCTGCAGAAGGGAATGGCTACCCACTCCAGCATTCTTACCTAGAGAATTCCATGGACAGAGTAGCCTGGCAGGCTACAGTCCATGGTGCTGTGGAGAGTATACAAGCTTTTTAAGAAGAAAAGAAAATGTCCCAAGTTGGTTCTGTGTTCTTCTGCGCCCTGGTATGACCTTGAATGTCTTTGGAAACAATGTTCACATGGTGTAATTTCAGTCTTCTCTCTAACAGAACCAGAATCGTGTGTGCCTCTGAAAATTCCAACCCAGTCATTGCTGCAGGATGTGGCAGGACAAGCAAGAAAAGAGAAAGTGAGGCTACCTCACTACTTGCTGAGTTCCAAGCCCAAGTCTCAGCCTCTCGCAAAGGTAAAACGGGCTTGGGAATAAATCTGCCAGAGCCAGTTAGAGTTTTATGTATTCCGGGTTGATTGAAGTTACTGATTTCCAGCGACCATGTAACTGCTATTTGATATATGAACCATCTCAACATGAAGGGCTTCAGGTCACACAGGGGTAAACCAAGGCAGTGCTTTGCTAGAGCCAACTCATAGGCTCACAAGAGGAATTGTTATGAGTCAGCTGTTAAGCCATCGCTAGCTTGCAGTCGGCAAGCTCCCATGGTGGCTCAGTGGTAAAGAACTCACCTGCAGTGCTAGAGACTCGGGTTCAGTCCCTGGGTCAGGAAGATCCCCTGGAGAAGGAAATGGCAATCCACTCCAGTATTGTTGCCTGGGAAGTCCCAGGGACAGAGGAGCCTGGATGGCTGCAGTCCATGGGGTCGCAGAAAGGTTGGACATGACTTAGCGACTAAATCACAGGCAGTTTGCAGTCAGCTGTGCCTGGAGTTCTTATGCCATAGAAACTGGCAGATGCTACTGAAGAAGGTTCTTTTCCAAGAGCCAGTTTACCAGCCCAGTGCTGGCTAAGGGGATCATTCGGCACCTTTCTCATGACTCAGGATAAAATCCAGATGACTTAGTGTGACTGCAAAGCATGCCTCCACTTGCTTCTTTCCCCTCATGCTTTTCCAGACTCATTATACCTCCTGCATTGTGGCCTCCTATTGGTTCTTTCAAAGTACCAAACTCCTTCCTCAGAGCCTCTAAGATCCATCTCACCTGTGTCAGAAAACTTTCCTAGAGCCCACCAACCAAGTTTTGATAGTCATCCTTTAGAAATTTCATGGCACACTGTGGAGAATGTACTGCAATGTGTATAATTGACATGTGGTAGGAGTGCTTCTCAAACTTTAATGCATATGTGAGTTATTTAGGAACCTTGTTAAAATACAGATTCTGCCTCACTGGGTCTGCTGTGAAGCCTGAGATTCTGCAGTTTTAACAGGCCCCCAGGTGAAGTCAGTTCTGCTGACTTGGGAAATAACCGCATAGGGCAATGGTTCTCAATTTGACTGTCAGCATCGGCAACACCTGAGAACTTGTTATAAGTGCAAATTCATGGGCTCCATCCCAGATGTACTAGTGGATAAACTTGGGAGGTGGAGTCAGCAATTTGTTCTCAGTAGACGGTGCTCCTCTGCAGAGCAGATTTCCCTTATTTTTGTAGGCCCTTCCCCTCTGCACCTACCTATTCTCTACTCCAGACATCCCCAACCTCCAGGGTGTAATGCCTGATGATCTGAGGTGGAGCTGATGTAATAATAATACGAGTAAAGTGCACAATAAATGTAGTGCACTTGAATCATCCAGAAACCATCCCTATCTACCCCTGCCCCATCTGTGGAAAAATTGTCTTCCATGACACTATTCTGTGGTGCCAGAAAGTTTGGGGACCTCTGCTCTACCCCACCCCATCCCAGACTTACTAATGGAGAAACTCTGGGAGTGGAGTCAGAAATTGGTGTCTTAACCAGTTCTCCTGGCGGTTCTGATGGAAGTTAAAGTATGATAATCACAGGCACAGAGGGAAGGGCACCAACTTTGGAACCAGGTAAACTTGAGTCTGAAACTTTAGTCTGCCACTTACCACTTCAGCAAGTTATCTGTCTTCCAGTTCTCTGAACTTGAACTTCCCTATCCTTAAAGCTTAAAATACTTCCTTACTGTGCTGTGATAAGGATTACATAGACCATAAATGTTCATTTCCTCCCCTAGCCAAGCAGTTATTTTCCTCCAGTGACAGAGCCTTTATTTACCTGAAATATAATTGACATACGATATTATGTTAGTTTCATTTGTACTACATAGAGATTTGATACTTGCATACATTATGAAATGATCACCATGAGTCTAGTAACCATCTGTCCCATACAGAGTTATTACAGTATTATTGACCGTATTCCTTATATTACATTCCTGTGCCTTATGTATTTTATAAACTGGATGTTTGTACCTCTTAATCCGCTTTACCTATTCCATCCTGACAACCCCTTCCTTTTGGTCAACCACCCATTTGTTTTCTGTATCTGAGTCTATTTTCATTTTTATTTCATTTGATTGTTTTGTTTTTTGACTCTACATATGTGACATACAATATTGCCTTTTCTTTGAATTATTTTACTTAGTATAATTCCCTCTAGATCCATCCATGTTGTTGAAAATGGCAAGACTTCTTTTTTTATGGCTGAGGAATATTCTGTGTGTATATATATATATGTAAGATATATATATAATATTCATATATAGTGTATATATATCACATGTTTTTTTTCTATTTGTCTATTAATGAACATTTAAATATATGTTACTTTCATATCTTGGCTATTATAAATAATGCTACAATGAATATTGGTGTGGATATAATTTTTCAGATTAATAATTTTATTTTCTTCAGGTAAATATCCAGAAGTAAAATTGCTGGATCATACTGTAGTTTCTGTTAAATTTCCTTTATGCTGTTTATCATAGTGGCTGCCCCAATTTACAATTTCATCAACAGTATATGAGGATTCCCTTTTCTCCACATCCTTACCAACACTTGCTATTTGCTATCTTTTTGATGATGACCATTCTGATAGGCATGAGGTTATATCTTGTGGTTTTGATTGGCATTTACCTAATGATTAGTCATGCTGAGCATCTTTTCATGTATCTGTTAGCTATCCTATATGTATGTCTTCTTTGGGGAAGAAAAAGTTTTTTCAGGTCCTCTGTCCAATTTTTAATTGGGTTGCTTAACTTTTTGATATGAGTTGTTTGAATGTTTTGTATATTTTGGATGCTGCTGCTGCTAAGTAGCTTCAGTCGTGTCCGACTCTGTGCAATGCCATAGATGACAGCCCACCAGGCTCCTCTGTCCCTGGGGTTCTCCAGGCAAGAATATTTTGGATATTAACCCTTTTATCTGATATATTGTTCACAAATATCCTTTACCATTCAGTACTGCAATGTGTAATTTGTTGATAGTTTCCTTCACTATGCAAAAAGTTTAGTTTGTTGTAGTCTCATTTATTTATTTTTGTTTCTCTTACATGAAAAAGCAGATAACAAAAAAAAAGTTACCAAGATTGATGCCAAAGAGCATATTGTTTATGTTTTATTCTAGGAGTATTATAGTTTCAGGTCTTGTATTTAAGTATTTTATACATTTTATGTATTATTTTTGGATATGATGTGAGAAAGTAGTCCACTTTGATTATCTTGCATGGAGCTGTCCAGTTTTCCCAACACCATTTGTTAAAAAGGCTATCTTTTCCTGTTGTAATTCTTACCTTTGTCATAGACTAACCATAAAAGCATATGTTTATTTACAAGCTTCATCATTATATAATGTCCTTATATGTCTCATTACAGTCTTTGTTTTAATAGCTACTTTTCCTGATGTAAGTATTGCTACTCTGGCTTTCTTTTTGTTTCCATTTGCATGGAATACCTTTTTCCATCCCTTCCCTTTCAGTCTGTGTCTTTAAATCTGAAGTGAATCTCTTGTTGGCAGCATTTATATGGGTCATGATTTCTATCTATTAAACCACCTTCTGTCATTTGATTGGAACATTTAGTACATTTACATTGAAGTAATAATTGATAGGTATGTACTTATAAACATTTTGTTCATTTTTTTCATGTGTTTATAGTTCTTTTTTTGTTCATTCTTCTCTTAGACTCTCCCCTTTGATTATTGTTTTTAGTGTTATGTTTGGATTCCTTTCTCTTTTTTGTGTGAGTATATTTTATAGGTTTGTGGTTACTATGAGGTTCATATATTATAACATGTAGCTATATATATAGATATATATATATAGATATATATATATATACACACACACACACATATATATATATACACATATATACACATGATTATTTTAAGTTAATAATCTCCTGGGTATGAATGCATTCTAACAACTCTTCATTCTCCCCTTACACACACGCATTTTATGTTTTGATGTCAGCTGTGTTACATCTTTTTGTTTTCTGTACCCCTTAACTCCTCATTGTGAATATATATAATTTTACTGCTTTTATCCTTTAACCTTCTATCCTGCTGGCTTTACAAGTGGTTGATCTACTACCTTTACTATGTATCTGTCTTTATCAGTGAGATTTTTCCTTGCATAATTTTTGTAATTATAGTTGTGGCCTTTTCTCTTAGAGAAGTCCCTTTAACATTTGTGTAAAGCCAGTTTAGTGGCACTGAACTCTCTTAGCTTTGTCTGCAAAACTCTTTCTCTCTCTTTCAGACATGAGTGATAGCCCTACCAAGTAGAGTATTCTTGGTTGTAGATTTTTCCCTTTCATCACTTTGAATGTATTATGTCCCTCCTTTCTGGTCTGTACCGTTTCTGTTGAAAAATCAGCTGATGGTCCTGTGGTAGTTCTCTTGTACATAATGAGTTGCTGTTCTATTCCTTCTTTAAGATTCCCTCTTTATCTTTAATTTCTGGCATTTTAATTAATTTGTCATGGAATGGGCCTTTTACAGTTAGTCCTGTTGGGGACACTCTGTGCTTCCTGGACCTGAATATCTGGTTTCTCCTCCCAGGTTAGTGACATTTTCAGTTATTATTTCTTCAAGTAAGTTCTCCACCCCCTTTTCTCTTCTCCACCTAGGTCCCCTGTGTGCAAACGTTAGTATGCTTGATATTGTCCCAAAGGTCTCTTAAACTATCTTTATTTATTTATTTTTCTTTTTTCTTTTTTCTGTTCAGCTTAGGTGATTTTTACTACTGTGTTCCAGGTTGCTGATCCACTCTGTATCATCCAAACTACTGTTTTCTTTCTAGTGCAATTTTTATTTCAGTTACTGTATTCCTCACCCCCAGTTATTATTTTTTATAACTCTTTGTTGAAATTTCCACTGTATTTATTCATTTGTCTCCTGAGTTTAGTGAGCATTGTTATGATCTTTATCTTGAACACTCTATTGGCTGGATTGCTTACCTCTACTTTGTTTAGTTCTTTTTCTAAGGTTATGTGTTGTTCCTTTGTTTGGAACATATTCCTGTGTCTCCTCATTTTGCCCAGTTCTCTCTGTTTATTTCCATGTGTTAAGTAGGTTGGTTACACTGTCTGACCTTGCAGAAGCAGCTCATGTAGATGTCCCATGGACCCAGCATCCTTTTTCCCTCTGGTCACCAGAACTGTGTAGTTGAGGGGTGTCCTCATGTGGGTTGCATGAGGCTTTCTGTTGTGGTAGGGCCTACTGCTGTGGGCATGCGGGAGGCAAAACGGGCCCTGACTCAGTTGTCTGCAAGGCTGTGCCTTGTGTGGTGACTAAAGGCTGGTTGTAGGGCAGGGGAGGCTTGCTGCATGGTTTGCTATGTGGCCTGGGGGCGGGGTATGTGTGTAGAGCCAGAGTCTTTTTATTATCTTGCATGCTAAATTGCTTCAGTCATGTCCAACTCTTTGAAACCCTATAGGCCATAGCCCACCAGGCTCCCCTGACCATGAGATTTTCCAGGTGAGAGTACTGGAGTGGGTGGCCATTACCTCCTCCAAGGGATCTTCCCAACCCAGGGATCAAACATGAGTCACTTATGTCTTTATTATCTTGGGAATGGAAAATAGAACCATTTTATTATGTTTTATTGCTTTTTTTTCTTTTTCAATGAAGGGGCAAGATTCTGTTGGAGGAAGAGTGAGAACATCCTCGGTGGCATCTGCTGCCATTAATAATATAAATGCATCTCCCTTTGGATTCCATCTTCTCCCACCCGCAGTGAAATTTGGAGTGCTCGAAGAAGGACACACCTATGCCACCACCGTAAAGCTCAAGAATGTTGGAGTAGACTTCTGCAGGTGAGGCCAAGGCTCCAGGTGTATGCTCAGATCACCTTCCCTTGCTCTGTGACTTTTCTTTGGTAGCCTACATCAGTGAATGTTTATTGGACTGAACTGTAATTACACCTGAACTCTTGAATCTTAGCATCATTCATTCAGTCATTTACAAATTCATCTATTCACTCATTCTTCAACAAATAAGTATTTCCCAAGCCTCAATTCTATAGTAGGTATTTCTTTATATGCTGCTCAGTCATGTCCAACTCTTTGTGACCCTTTGGACTATGGCCCACCAGGCTCTTCTGCCCATGGGACTCTCCAGGCAAGAATACCGAAGTGGTTTGCCAGTTTGATAACCTCCAGGGGATCTTCCCAATTTGAGGGTTGAACCCACATATCCTGCGTTGCAGGCTGATTCCTTACTGCTGAGCCATCAGGGAAGAACCATTTCTTTGCCTTACTATTAATGATTATTCTTACTTTAGTAGGAGCACCTCAAGACCTGGTACGTCCCAGAAAGAAATCAAAGAGAAGTTGTACAAGTGTTACAATAAATGATACACAAAACAATAACTAATGTGGAAAACTTGAAAGTCCATTTCTCAAATCTACCACCAACTATAACACCAACTAATATTTGTTGACACTGTGATCTAAACATGATTTTAATTATGTTAATTCTGCATGATTGAGGCAAAAAGGAAAAAATTAACCCTTAATCATCAAGGTCACTTTGACTCTAATGATGTGACTCGGAATTAATAGCAAATAACTTAACTCACAGTCTGTATTCCCAATAGAAAATATACCCTATCTGGCATGAAGTGACAAGAAAGTCACTTCAGTCCTTCATTTCCAGGTCAAAACCAATAGAATCTTAGAGTGTGTATAGATCTTGGAGACTGTTATGATATAAAGGAACTGAGTAACTTGTCTTAAAAGGTCTTATAGGCTTCAGCAAGGGTAGATCTCTGATCCCCTGAGTGCCAGTTCATTGGAGCACCTTGCTTTATCAACACAGCTGTGGTCACTGCTTCTTGTGGGAAATCAGTCCTTCCCATTGGGTCCATGTATCATACATCTATTCCAAGACAATTCCCAATTACAAATTTTCCTCTGTACTATTTTGTAGTAAGCATCAGGATTGTGGGGAACTTTACCCCTATAAAAATGGGATAACGTATATTTCAGAATGCAGAGTTATTCTCAGTGTCACTAACAAGTTCTTTGAGAGCATTTATGATTCTGGGCTCAGGATTGGAAGTTAGACAGCGCATAGCTACAGGAGCATCTGATTGAGAAGATCACTGTCCCATTTTAGTTGAGGCACATCCTCAACTTCAGGGATCATGTTCACTTCCTTGGAAAAAACTTGATGAGGACATCACACCACCAGATCAGACATCATTGCTTTTTGGGGTTGTTGCCACAAAATGGGTGGGAAGAAATAGAGAGTCAACCTCAAACTTCATTAAACTCACCCAAGGAGACCCTGTGTGTCCAGTACAGAATTTTAGCTTTTTACATTTCACTCCTCAGCTTGTTCAGTTCAGCCACTACAGGGCAGATAGCAAAGCGGATGGTAGAGGGAACCCAGTTGGGGTCAACATGGAGATAGACTGCCCTTGGCATTTTAATTTGCTCCAGGTCTTTAACCTTCAGGCAGAGCCCACAAACCACAGGAAGGGGAAGAGATCAACAAGTACCATGTGTGAGTCCAGGGCTTTTCAAGTTCTCCTACGTTTTCTGAGCCTTTTCTGTTTCTCTTCTCGCCAAACATGCGAACCCCATACCACGACAGAGCAAGACTGGCTCCCACGCTCCACTGCTTTCCAAAAGAGCCTTTATTCTTCAGCTTAATGATCTGGCAGTCAGCATTTGTGTTCATGCTGGCGGCTACGCTGCAGTGCGCACGCCAGCCAAATATTCACAACCCTTTGCCCAGGCCCAAGCTGCTCGTCAGCATCCGATAACAAAGGGTTGAAACCCGGTTTGGAGTCAGTTTGACGCCGATGAAAACTGTTGGAAAGGCAGCTGTGAAACAAGCCCCAGATTCTCCTTCCAACTGGATATTAGACTGTTTTTCTACTAGTCTGGACCCCCTGCTCCCGTGTAGCCAATATTAACACCTTCCTGATTTTATTACTTCCCAGTTCATTTGTGCTCGTGTTTTTCATTATGGCATCAATTTATCCCCATCTTTTTTTGCTGGTAGGTTTAGGGTGAAGCAGCCGCCACCCAGCACTGGACTGAAAGTGACTTACAAACCTGGACCCGTAAGTCCATGTGCTGCGTGTTGTGTGTGTCCGTATGTGTGTGCATACAGATATGTATATGTTTCCAGTGAAGTGAGCTTTTATGCCATTCTACCAATTTGGTTTAAGCCATTTGTAAGTCGACTTTTTCTAGTGTCATAAGCAATAGGTTCTTGGCACTGGTATACTCTCTGGCCGTTGTTACTTATTTCTTGTAACAACCATAAGCACTCCTCTGCATAAGTAGAATTAAACTTCCAGCTATGGAATCATTTCTGAAGTTCACTGCACTTACCCCGATACTGCAGTTCTATACAGTTGTCTGAGAATACCTTTAAAAAAATTAAAATATGATTTAACATGCATTTGGTAAACTGACTACCTAAAGATACCCTGTGACAAATCCTTCTGCAAAGTGAAAAGTCATTGGAAAAAATAAATACTTCATTCTTTACATTTTATGTAAATCTGGTCTGCTCTCCTGGTATTTGTCAGAGAATAGTAATGACATATTAAGAAATAGTAGAATATTTAAATTAACCATCTGTCTCATTTCTCCAAAAATCTCTGAAAATGTGAATTTTAAAATGTCAAACTGTTCTGATTTTATTTGATACATTATATTTAGTATAAAATGTGTATTGCCACTGACTTCAAAATATAATTTCAGAGGTATAATATGATTAAACAAGAGGTTATCTCAAAATATAATAAAATCACACTCATCAACCTTGACTTTTATCTCTTGGTCAATGTATCATCTTTTGCTTTAACACTCTCTTGCTTTGACAAGAGTGTTAACAAGCTTTGAGCTCCTCCCATATGCCAGCGATAGTGCCAGGGTACAGGAGATGTTAAAAATGAGTGAGACACATAAGTATACAAAGCAGGCACATGGCAGGCACTCAAGAGATGTGTGACTGAGTAACAGATGGTATAAGGAAGACTGGTAGATAAATGAACCATTCATCGGCGATGGGGACTGCACAGGCTCATGGGAACTCTAATTCCCATATGCCAGCGATAGTGCCAGGGTACAGGAGATGTTAAAAATGAGTGAGACACATAAGTATACAAAGCAGGCACATGGCAGGCACTCAAGATATGTGTGACTGAGTAACAGATGGTATAAGGAAGACTGGTAGATAAATGAACCATTCATCGGCGATGGGGACTGCACAGGCTCATGGGAACTCTAAGCAAGTACATCCAGTCGCATAATGTGCTGACTGAATCCCGAGATCTTAAAGCAGTCACAGTTGCTATGTGTTGACACAGAAGAATTGGTTGGCTGTAGCACAAAGTCAGTTGCTTTCTTATAACTGTGCTACCAAGCAGCTCTGTGATGTTGTTGGTTAATCCTCTGCACCTTGCTTTCCTCATCTATAAAAGAAGGAGCTTAGACTGATCATTTCTTAGCCCTCTTGCAGCTCCAATATCTTATGATCTATAAAGCAGTAATATGCAGGCTACAATTCCAAAACCGAAATCCTTTTGGGGCTTCAATCCACTAATTTACGAGTACCTCTCTGAAACACTTCATCACTGTCACATGTCAGAATTTCAGAATCTTCACAACATAAAGCAAAAACACAGTTAAAGCAAGCTTTTCTCCCACTGTTCTGGGAAGTTAGCAAATCTTTTTCATTTTAAGTAGGGATTAGGCCAAAACCCTAAATGACTGCTAGATCAACCTTTATACATACTAAAAACCCAAACTCACTCTATACCTTTTTTCTTTCTGATGGTAGTTTTGGCTCTGGCAGAAAAATGTAGCCTATAGACTTGTCTGTATCTAAATCTCAGCCCTGTTCAGCTTGGTTCACTGCCAGCACTGCATGAATGCACTCCAACCCCGGGTAGACCTGTGCTGTGGCAGCCCTCCAGCTCCCCTCGTGCAGCGTCATCCCCCAGCCCTGCTCCGATTGTTGGGCTTGGAGCGCTGAGGGCCTGGTTCTCAGAAGCTGCTGGATACCCTCCAGCGTGTGGACGTCCACAAACACAGCATTGAGAAAACTGAAACGTTTTTCAATTCTATTATTTATAAAACCCAATTGAAGAAAAAAAAAATTATATTCATACCTAATTGCTTTCCATGTGGTAGTTTCTGATTTATTTTTTCCAGATAACTGTTCTCACATTGGCTTTTTAACCCACCTCCTAGGGAGGTGGCTTTCAAACATAAACAACCCTTTCTTTCCTGACTTAGTGTCCTTTTCAGGGGACAAGGCAAGAAGCCCATTCCTTGCTGTGTTTCTCCTTCATAGTATATCAGGTTTCTTTTTTGCTGATACATCCTCTTCCATGTATCTTTCAGATCTAACCAGTTTGGCATTTAAACTAAATCTGTTTCCCTCTACTGGCTTTGCCATGTTACAAGTCCTACAGTAGGAATATGATAAACCATGGGGCATGGGCACAGGAATTGTGGGATTCACCCAGTCTCTTAAATTTAAGATTAAATTTATGTTTACCTTTGATTAAATTTATCTTTGTTTACAGAGGTGACAATAAATAGAAGCTTGCTACTGATATTCAAGAAATAGCACAATTACAGACATCATAAAAGTTTGCCCCCCAGCACCCTGGCATTTAGTTTCCTGATGCTTTTTCCTAAATGGCACCTGACTTTCTCCTTCAATTTATCCTGGGTCCCACTTACTCAATGGAAATGTACCTAACTAATCCATGAAGTAATTCTTCTAAATGCCAGAACAGCAGTCATTCGTTTGTGCCAAACTGATAGATGAGGAAGCTAGGTTAGAAGGTTTGAATAACTTGCTCAAAATCACGTTAAAATTTTGAACTTCTGTATGTCTGATTCTAAAGCTCCATTGTGCATTTCAGGTGGCAGCTGGTTTGCAGGCAGACCTGAAAGTGGAATTATTTGCCATGGCTGTTGGGGAGGATGGCGCCAAGGGATTGGCACATATCTCTCACAAAATAGAGATTATGACTGAGCATGATGTCCTGTTCTTACCTGTGGAAGCAAATATCCTTTAAAGTTCAATTTGAGTCACCACATATAGTGTAAAAATTACATTTGAGCAAGGAGAACACAGAAGTCAAAATGGTGTTTCCTAATCCCCTCACATCTTCCCTCTGTAGCTTCATTTATTCTAGTTTAAAAATCACAGAGTTAAATTTCTTAGGACAAAGACTTGTGTCTTCATTCATTTTTGAAAGCACCTAGCAAAGTGCCTGACACATAGTACATGTAACTTTAAGTTGGATAAATCTCAATATTATTGGCCATCTCTGGGGTATCAAACAATCAGAAATTTTTTAAAAAGCAAGTCTTTTTCTTAAGGAAAAAACCTGGTCATCTTTTTGGGGAATAGGAGATACCTTATTATAGAAACCAAATGAATAAGCATTGAATTACACATACATTCCTTCAAATTGGTATCTCCTGTATATAGAATATACAGATACCAAAAACCTATTATATGCAATGTACTATATGAAATATTTTATCAAATATAAAAGTGAAAATTGAACTCTATCTTAAAAAGCTACATAAGCTGGTAGCAGGAATAAAATTTTCACACTTGATTCCTGTATTGTAACTCCAATAGTATGAATCATATGCTACTCTGTGTTACAGGTATATCTATTTGATATTTGAGCTGGGTCTTATAGAATACAAAAACTTTTGATGAAAAGAGACTTAAAATAGGAAGAATGAACAAAACTAGCAATAGGGAAGCTCCAATTGTTCAGGAGGGTAAGCAGGGACTTCAATTTGTTGAGAGCTTAGAGTATTAGTAACATAGTGGCAGCAATATCCAAAAGAAGGTGAAAGCATAATCAAGAACAGAGCTGAAGGGTTAATCTTGGCAAGGGAGAGAGTAAAGATGACCGAGGGTCTAGACATTCTGAGGTGAAAGGGAAATGAAGGGAAATTGTGTCAGATGATCTTGACTGCAATAGAAGTAGAGTTGTATTCATTTGTTTACGGTCTTCCCAGGTGGTTCAGTGGTAAAGAACCTGCCTGCCAATGCAAGAGACTCAAGAGATGCAAGTTCAGTCCCTGGGTCAGGAAGATGCGCTGGCAACCCACTCCAGTATTCTTTCCAGGAAAATCCTATGGACAGAGGATGCTGGTGGGCTACAGTCCAAGCCATCGCAGAGTCAAGTATGACTTAGCAACTGAGCATGCATTTTCATTCTTTCAAAGATCATAAGTGTCCCTAATGTGCTAGGCATCAGGGATACAGCAATGAACAAGGGACAAATCTCTCTCTGCCTTTATGTAGCTTACATTCCAGCAGGAAGACAGACAATAGACAAAATAAGTGAAATGTGGACTCTAATGGTAATAAGTACAATGTAAGAAACAGAAATGCAACATAGGAAAGAAAGTACATGGAGAAGGAAATGGCAACCCCCCTCCAGTATTCTTTCCTGGAAGATCTGATGGACAGAGGAGCCTGGTGGGTCCATGGGGTTCCAAAGAGTTAAACATAACTTAGAGACTAAACAACAGCAACAACATAGGAAAGGAAGTATAGGGAGTGTTAAGGACTGAAAGTTAAAATGAGTAGTCAGGAAAGACCTTCCTCAGAAGGATTTCCCCCCTCTGGGAATTATGTCCTCTTCATACAAGTTATTAGATGCTGAATCTAATAACTGACTAACTGAATCCCTGCTGCTGATCACAGCAATTAAATCATTTTGCATTTATTCTAATAAAGTTTCTATTACCTTGCTTACAATTAGAGACTATCTATCTGGCACAGAGAGATGGGAAAAGAGTTTTACTAAATCTTTACTCTACTTCCAGGGTCAACAATGATAGTTCATAGCCCATTTCTCAAGATCTAGTCCCTCTCTTTTGCATCAAAAAAGCATGAAATCTGCATGTTGATGTGGTCTGGGACCTGGTAATGGTGATTGATGGTACCTATAGAAAGGCCAGTCTCGTAGCAGAGAAACATACACTAGAGGGGACCGAAGAAATTCCAGATCAGTATCCATCCTTCATCCTCTAAGCTTGGCATATAGAATTTGCATTAAATTGAAAATACCTAAAAGTGATCTGATGATGCTAAAGATTCAATTATCTGACTTTGCATATACGACTCATTTATTCATGAAAATAATAGTCCTTAATGGATATTTTACCAGTTTTAACAAGCAGCAATTATGAGAAGAGACCAAAAGATTTTCCCCAGGGAAAAGAAAATCCCATGGTCCAGAGGATTTCTACAATTTCTTCCTCTGCGCTTGGAGTCTTCATGTCCCGTAAAATTTCTCCACATTAGGAGTCAGGTAAGTAATACATTTGTAATTTGATTGTCACCCATTCAAATTTGAGGCCTTAGACCTCATATTTGTTCTCATCTTCATTCAGCCAGCAACCACTGAGCCACTTAGTTTGGTGGAATTAAAATACTTGTTTTTAATAATGATAACAGCTACCTGTTTATACTCATTATCCATCTAATCCTCATACTACCCACTTTATAAATAAGGAAACTCAGGCTCAGAGAATCTTGAAGAAGTAAAAAATCTAACTTACTTACGTGTGATTCTAAAGTTTATTCTTTCAAGTGCCATTTTTGACATTGATCTGACGTTCCAAGGGAAGAAACACCAACAGCAGGATGCCCTTCTGTACTTGAGAATTTACAGTTAGGTCAGTGGTTCTTACAGTTTTTGGACTCAAAGACTCCTTATGTGCTGTGCATAGTCTCTCAGTCATGTCTGACTCTGCAACCCCGTGGACTACAGCCCGCCAGCCTCCTCTGTCCCTGGGGATTCTCCAGGCAAGAATACTGGAGTGGGTTGCCATGCCCTCCTCCAGGGATCTTCCCAGCCCAGGTCTCCCACACTGCAGGCAGATTCTTTACCATCTGAGCCGCCAGGGAAGCCCATACTCACACACATCTGCCCTTTCCCAGAGTCTTTCCCCCACAGGTCATTACGCAGCACTGAGCACAGTCCCCCGTGATCCCAGTAGCTCCCTGCTAATGGGCGGTTCCCGACTTTGCCTCTCGGCTATGCGGTAGAGGGGTCGCCTCGGAACCCTGAAGCCATCCAAGGCACGGACAGTGACACAGCCGATGTGCCCATGCCGGGGGGCGCCCCCACCTCACCCCACAGCACAGCCGCGGGCCTGGGGCCGACCTGGGCCCCTCAGGCTGAGCCTAGCATTCCTGCAGCCCCAACACCCGCCACCTGGATGCGGAAGCCGTGGAAGCAAGGACTGTTGGCCAGCTTGTGTTGCTAACCTCTATTAATAAAAGCAGTGGGGCAATTCAGTGGCAACAAGTACATAAAATACACAAGGCATTTCTTCCCCGCCTTGAGCTTTCAATCATGAAAACATGGACAGTTCGTGGGAAGGTGTATGGAATATAAAACCCCAGGGTAAAGCCCTGTGAGCTGAGGGGACAGGTGTGGACCTGTGTTTGTACCTTCGGGAAGGAAACCCTCGTGCCAAGGGATGTGAAAGCCGCATGGCCTTGGCCCTTGAGGACACCACGGGTCTGTTCTTCTGAGGCGCAGAGAGTCCCGCATGTAAACTGCCAAACAGGCANTTCAATTGTGTCAACTCTTTTGTGACCCCATGGACTGTAGCTCACCAAGCTCCTCTCTCCATGGGATTTTCCAGGTAAGAATACTGGAGTGGGTTGCCATTTCCTTCTCCAGGGGATCTTCCCAACCCAGGGATCAAACCTGAGTCTCCTGCACTGCAGGCAGACTCTTTACCAGTGAGCCACAAGGAGCTCCTCATTGGATGAAGGGGCCACCCTAACCTTGAATGGGCTTCCCAGGTGGTGCTAGTGGTAAAGAACCCACCTGCCAATGCAGGAGACAGAGACGTGGGTTTGATCCCTGAATCAGGAAGATCCTCTGGAGAAGGAAATGGCAACCCACTCCCCTCTTCTTGGCTGGAGAATCCTACAGACAGAGGAGCCTGGCAGGCTACAGTCCATGGGGTCGCAAAGAGTCAGACACAACTGAAGCGACTTAGCAAGCACGCCTGCACTTGAAAAGATAAGGCTTCACCTTAACTTGATTGAATCTGTAAGGACCCTATTTACAAATAAGGTCACATTCGTAGGTCCCTGGTAGACATGCATTTTATGGGGACAAACTCAATATAGTCTACCCTCTGGTCCCCCAAAATTCACATCCATCTCACATGCAAAATACACTCAGTCCATTGCAACACTCCCCAAAATCTTCACCTATCCTGGTGTCTTCTCCATTTGCAGACCTGTGAAACTAGGAAACAAGTTGTAAGTTTGCAAAATACTATGGTGGGATAACATAAGAAGACATTCTAAAGAGAAGATGCAAAGAATCAAGCAATCACCAGGCTAAGTGTTTGAAATGCTCTGGGCAGATTTGCTATTTCAGAGTATGAACACAATCATCTATGTCTTGATCTGTGCTCTGGGCCAGAGGCTTCCCCTGCCCTACCCTCTGGACCCTCATAGGCCTTTTGGGTCCTACCCTCTGTCATTAGCCTGATAAAGTATTATCCTCTGGGCAGCCTGCTTTCTGCTTATAGAAGCCCAGAAGTCTGGCAACCTCCCTTCATTTCCTGCCTCTGTCCCCCAGGCCAAGCAAGCAGTGTTTCTGCTGACAGAGCTTTCTCAGTTTTCATTGATGTGAAGGGGCTCCACATCATTAGGTGTGAGGGTTCTCCACAGGTCCTTCCTGAAGTCTCACCTCTGTTCCTGGCTTCTGCTGAGATGGCTGATGGTACTCATCTTGGTCACAAACCTAAGCTTTTCCACTAGGCTTTCCAGTTAAACCTTTGATAAAACTCTTCAGAGGGTGCCTTAGCATATCTTGCAATATGGACAGACTGTGAATTTCCCAAATCATCATGTTCAGGTTCCTTTTCCCTCACTGTTTCCTTCCTCAATTTATCTCTTTCCTCTTGCATTTTACTATAAGCAGTAAGAAACCAGGACACGTCTTCCATATTTTGCTTGGAAACTTCAACTAAAAATCCAATTTCATTGTTTTAAGTTCTACTTTTTATCCAAAAGCAGAAGACAGTTCAGCCAAGTTTTCTGCCACATTGTAACTCTTCCTCCACTGTCCAATAACACGTTCTTTGTTTCCATCTGAGGTCTTACCAAAAACGCCTTTCATGTTCGTATTTCTACAAACAGTCTGTTCACAATACAGAAAGTCTCTAGGATGCTTGAAGTGTTCTTTACTGTCCCCATCCATTCCTTCTGAACATTTATCAAAATTGCTTTTAATACCCATTATTTCTACCAGCAGTCTTTTCAAGGTAATCTATTAATAGAACTTTTCTATCATGCAGTTCAAAATTCTTTTAGCTTTCACCCATTACTTGATTCCAAAGCCACTTCCACATTTTTAGGTATTTGTTAAGGCAGCACCTCACTTCCTGGTACCAAAATCTGTTGTTTCCTGTGTATGCGTGGTAAGTCACTTCAGTTGTGTGTGACTCTTTGTGACCCTACGGACTGATACATTTTTTGTGTATTTTTGCACATGGTTGTTAGAGAATGTTTTATAAATAACTTAATTCCAAATAGTCAGTCATGTTCAGCTCTTTGTGACCCCATGGACTGTAGCAGGCTCCTCTGTCCATGGAGATTCTCCGGGCAGTACTGGAGTGGGCTGCCATATCCTTCTCCCTAATTCCAAATAAGGTCACATTTATAGGTTTCAGGTAGAGATGAATTTCTGGAGGACACTATTATACTTACCATTTTTAAATATTTTTGACCATGCAGATTATTCTCAAAAGGGTCTTCAGACCCTAAAGGTCTAGGAACATTCTTTAGAAAACCACTGATTAAGGTGTGGTTTATCTTGGTTCTAGCCCATGACTTTCAGAAGTTACCCTAAATTAAAAAGTGATGAAGTTTGAAACTCTAGCTGGATCATTCTGAAAACTACAGCACAGCTTTCCAATATTCATAATGCCTGTTGGAACCAATCTATCAAAAGTAATGACATGAGTGTACCTAATAGAAAGGTCTTAAATGGTATGTCTTTATGCCTCTTTGTTCATATTGTCAGTTAATGATATTAATGTAAGTACAATGAGTATCTTTTAAATATCTATTGTAAAGATTCTGTGATATCTGACAGAAAACATTTTCATCTATTTCTTTCCAATCTTTTCTACCTATGTATATATTGGAATCATTATAGTTTTATATTGTGTATGTCTCAAACAGAAAAAGTAACATATTCTGTGTGTTTCTACTCTGAGCCAGTGCTAAGTACTCCAGCTGTCTGTTATTAACAGACATCACGAATGCTTATTAAGATACTGAGCTATAAATTTCTCCATGACTCAGTAACTTAAAGCAACAGACACTCCTGATCTCCTAGCTTGTGTGGGTAAGGAATCCAGGCATAGAGCTGTTGTTACTATGGCTCAACTAGGGGTGAATCTGCTTTCAGCTCACTCAAGAAGTCACTGGCAGGATGCACTTCCTTGCAGGTGGTTAGACGGAGGACCTCAGTCCCTCACTGGCTGGTGTCGGGAGATTGCTCTCAGGGCATCTCACAATAGGCAGCTTGTGTTTACTAGAGCGATCAAGATCTGAGAGAGTGTGAGCACAGCAGAATTCAGGGTGTTAATTCAGGGTGTTAACCTTAGAAGAGACATCCTATTAAATTTATTGTATTCTATTCTTTAGAAGCAGCTCAACAGGTCCAGCCTGTGCTTCAAGGGTAGGAATTATCCAAGGGCAGCTAGCACTCAGCCTAACAAGGGATGGGCCAGTGACTGCTGTGTACATCGGAGCTGCTTCCATCCCATAACCTCAGAAATAAAGTGACAGGACTTAGAATACCCGGTGATGTTATCCTTAAGAGCCTTAGTCGTATCTCAAAACTCAGGCTTTTATGAGGAAAGGGATATGTTGGAGATATTGTTTGCAGTGTGTGCATTCTCAGTTGTGTGCAACTCTTTGTGACCCCATGGACGGTAGCCTGCCAGACTCCTGTCCATGGAATTTTCCAGGCCAGAATACTACAATGGGTAGCCATTTCCTCCTCCAGGGGATCTTCCCAACCCAGGGATGGAACCTGTGTCTCCTGCATTGGCAGGCGGATTCACTGAGCCACTGGGAAGCCTGTTTGTAAACCAGGTGCTTCCTCCTAAGCCCCTGCCTCGTCTGGCCTGTTAAGGCTGCACACATGGGTGAATGGAACCCTACAGCCTGTGACAGACACCACTGTCTCCTTGGTCACTGCCCTAGGTGCTCAGCTAGGTTTATTTGGGATGAATGTGATTTATGATACATGTCACTGAGAAA